GACTGAGCCACCCAGGTGCCCCTCCCACAGCCAATTTTAGAACATTTTCCATCATCTTGGACGGAAACGCTGGCCCCTTCAGCCCTAGGCACTCACGGGTCTACTTTCTGTCTATAAATTTCCTGGTTCTGGACATTTTGTATGAATGGAATCACATAATATGTGACTGGTTTCTTTCACCTAGCATAATGTTTTGTTTTTTTTTTTCAAATGTTTATTTTTGAGAGAGACAGAGTGAGAGCCAGGGAGGGGCAGAGAGAGAGGGAGATACAGAATCCAAAGCAGACTCCAGGCTCTGAGTCGTCAGCACAGAGCCCAGTGCGGGGCTTGAACTCATGAACTGCTAGATTATGGCCTGAGCTGAAGTCAGACGCTCAACCAACTGAACTACCCAGGCACCCTTCACTGAGCATAATGTGTTTAAGATTCATTTATGTCATAGCAGGTGTCAATACTTCATTCCTTTTTAAAAACATTGTGAGGGGTGCCTGGCTGGCTCAGTTGCAAGAGTGTGCAACTCTTGACCTCGGGGTTGTGAGTTTGAGCCCCGTGTTGGACGGAGAAATTAAATAAGCTTTAAAAAAATAAAACATTGTGGTGAAATATACACAGCATGAAATTTACTCTTTTTAACCATTTTCAAGTGTGCAAGTCGGTGGAATTAAGGATGCTTGCACTGTTGTGCAGCTGTCGCCCCTACCCACCCCAGGAACACTTTCATCTTCCTGGTCTGAAACTCTGTCCCCGGGTTACACACCCGATTCCTCATTCCCCCCAGTAACACTGTCCTTTGAAATTCAACTAGCTCAATCTGTTTTTAGTCATTTTGTATGTGTTTCCTGGAATGTGGTATATCCCTTTGATATTCAGCCCTGCCGACATCTTGATTTTAGCCACATAAGACCTATTTCCTAGCATCTGAACTCCAGAACTGTAAGATAAGTTTGTGTTGTTTTAAGCCATGAAGTGTGTGGTCGTATGTTACGGCAGCCACAGGAAACAAAGACCTTTGTTTTATGCAAGTTTGTACAGATTCATCCTGATGTAAGGCTCTTGGGATTGTGTGGCTGGCACAGCACCTACTATGTGCTTAGCATGACACCTGGTGCTCCCCCACTCTGTTTGGTCTCCCTATCTATGAATGGGCGGCAGGATCAGCATCTACCCTGCAGGACTGCAGGGAGAGTGAACTGAGCTCACCTGTTGAACACTGCAGCCCAAGAAGCTCTCTCTCTCTCTCTCTTTTAAGTGTATTTATTTTGAGAGAGAAAGCACGTGGGGAAGGGGTAGAGAGGGAGAAAGAGAATCTCCAGCAGGCTCCACACTGTCAACATGGAACCCAGTGTGGGGCTTGAACTCACAAACTATGAGATCATGACCTGAGCCAACATCAAGAGTCAGACGCTTCACCAACTGAGCCACCCAGGTGCCCCATGGAGCTCTTAAAATGACTAAAGAAAGTGCAAGTCTTTTACAGAGGGGTGAATCTGAGGCTCAGAGAGATTTAGCGAGGTGCCCAAGACCACACAGCTACCACAGTAAGCGGCAGAACTGGGATTTGAAGCCCTGGCTCTGAAGCCAGTGGTCTTTCTTGCAGCATGATGCCTTCTCCCAGGACTGTCTCTTAGGGGGCCTACAGTCTCATTAGTCAGGGAGCCACGCCTAACCCACTAGACCTAGTAGGACAGTGCACATAACAGGAGGGAGTTGGAGAAGAGACACTCAGTGGGACAAGAGTGCTGTTGGTTATTGTCATCTTCAGAGAAGCTTTATTGAGCACTGACCATTTGGGGTCACTAGCCTTGAGTATTGAAGAGAGATATTCCCCCTACTTTCAAGGAGCTAGCAGCGAAGATGGGGAAAGCTTCTTGAGGAGGTTGGGCTTTGAACTTGGTCTTAAACCGTAAGGAGGTAGTTTTTAGCAGAGTAAGGAGTTTCCAGATTGGGAGAGCACGATTAAGCGGATGTGTGATCAGCTGGATCGGTTGGTACTAGGTTTAGCTGCTTCTAACGGAAAACCCCAGAGTAACAATGACTTAACACAGAGATTTATTTCCCTTTTGTGTAAAGGGACACAAAGGTGGACAGGCTGGGCAGGTGTGGCAGCTCCGTGGGCTTGATGGGGATGCGGGTTCCTTGCAGCTAACTACTCCGCCATTCCTAGGACGTGATCCAAGAAACTGCTAAAGCTCTGGCTGTATGTGCCTGGCGAGATCCCGGCAAGAAAAGCGGAAACAACACTAGACATTTCAACATAGAGAATTTAATATAGGGAATTGGGAATCGGCTGAACAGGTATTGGAGAACGCAAAAAGCAAAAACGGGACCCAGTGGCACACAGAACTGCAGGAAGCAGCCCCTTCCCTGGGCTGAGGGACAGAAGGAAGAGGTTGAGGTTACGAGACCCTGAAGCTGGAACCCCCAGCCCCCGTGGAGAGGGCGCTGCTGGGCTGCTACTGGCATCTGAGAACTTGCAGGCCCCCCCCCCCCCCACCGGAGCCGGGGCCCAGGCCTGCGAGCTGGTACCCTGGGTGATGCCGGTGTTGGCGAAAGCAGCGGGGCTTCCGCTGTTGCTCCTGCCACGCTCGGAGAAGAAGAGCCGGCAGACACAACATCTCCCTCCTCCTGCCTTCCTGCCTCCCTGCAGGACCCCCGCTGGCCGGACCTAACTGGGAGCGGCTGGCAAAGGAGATTTGTAACCGGTGGAGCCCCAGCCCGGCACCACGATGGAGAACTGCAGGGTAGATGTGGACTCAGAGACCAGAGCTTAGTTACCACTTGACACACTGTCGCCCGTGTCAGATGGCAGGAGAAAGGACAGGGAGAAAGGGGCAAGGCCCGTGCGTGTGTTTTAAGGTGACCTCCACAAGTCGCACAAACACCTCCTTTTATGCTGTATTTGTCAGCACCCAGTCGCATGGGCACACGTACCTGTAAAGGCAGCTGGTAAATACGGTCTTCGTGGCAGGCGCGTTGCTGCCTGCCTAAAATCTGGCTTTGCTTACCGAGGAAAGGGAGGAGAATGCCACAGCTGAAATTCCGAAATTGCTAGTTAACGTCAATCTGCCAACATGAACCCCCAGATGAAACTTTCTCCCCGTTCTCTTTCCGCCCCACGCGGCCTCCTGGTCCGTATCTTGTAGCCCTTGGCAGCCCTGGTCATTGTATGCTCGTAATACCTGTGTAATTGTGCACATGATGGTGTAAATTAGGTTTGTGTTCTGGCCTCACTTGGGGAGCGTAGCTTGACTGGGCTTTTTATGGATGGAGCAGGGAGAGAGCTGGGGACTCCTGTGACCAGGAGATATCCTTCTAGAAACTGTGGTTTGGCCTGCTGGTCACTTTTCCTCCCAGAGTTGCACCTACTGCCACGAGATACCGCAGCCTCTGCGAGGCAGGCGTGGACGTGCTGCAGCATGTAGCCTCCCGCACTGCCCTGTGACTTTGAGTTCGGACAGTTTTATGTCTGCTTCCTTCGCTAGAGAGGATGTTTCCTGAGGGCAAGGCCCAGAACACAGTTGAGGTTTATGTTACCCTGGCTTCCGGCAGAGGGCTGTACTCACGGAATAGCTCCTTAAGATTTGCCAGGTGGATAAAACCAGGGCTGAGGGACTCTGACATCTGCTGCAAATGGGTTGCTTCTTGTATTTCGTATTCCTTCATTGAGCTTGGTTCCTCTGTTCACTAACCTTCTGCTTCTGTACCTGATCATGTCCAGCCTGGGCAGGTGCGTTGTCCCAAAGGCAGTTCCTTTCCTGTTTTAAATGACCCTTGTGACTTGTTTCTTGTCTCTCTCATAGAGTGCAAGTTTCAGGGTACTGAGATCTCCCATTTCCACTGAGTGCTCCAAGGACCAGTTACGTTGCAAATCAAAAAAAAGAAAATTTTTTTTAATGTTTATTTTTGTGAGAGAGAGAGAG